GCTAAACAGGGCCTCGCTCGAGTTTAGGGGTTTTAGGGTTTAGGGTTTTGGGGTTCTAGGGTTTTGGGGTTCTAGGGTTTAGGGTTTTAGGGTTTTGGGGTTTTAGGGTTTAGGGTTTTGGGGTCTTAGGGTTTAGGGTTTAGAGTTTAGGGTTTAGGGTTTTAAGGTCTAGAGTTTAGGGTTTACTGGATCAGCACGCAAGTACGTGCCTTCAGATAGGTATCTTGCTATCGAAACAGCATGTAGGCGCCATCATAATTAGAATAGGGCTTGGGTACGAGACTTAGACGGGAATCCCAAGGAATGTGCTACTTCCATGCATGTAACATGCAGAACCACTTCTTCGACCTTCCCGAGCCTAACATACGCGACCCCTCCTTCTGAAGGCAGGTGCCAATGGTCCAGAAAGTCGAGAAGCAGATTCAGGCTTCGGGCCTCTGCGTCCTAAACTGGCTGAATAATTTATTGTACGATTTCTTAGGGTTCCGAATCATCATGAACAAAGCAGCGCTGGATGTTTCATAGTACGAATTGTCACTAGAGAAAAACATGCCCCCATTCTGATTTTCAGGGCCGCTCTAGTTCTCCACGGCCAAAGCTTCAATCCAGTTGGCCTACGCTGGGGTACTTGGGTTCAATGCATTGAGGGATCCTGGCCGTTTTTGGTTTTGGGTTTTGGTGATTCAGGTTTTAGGGTTCAGGGCTTTCGCACCAGACTCGGATCAGGGCGGGATGTTCTCCCGCAAGTACATCTTTAGGGACAGTAAAGGTTCGCTATTGCGGATCCGCTAAGGGCCCCTGAGGCCCTAAACCCCTAAACCCTAAACTCCTAAACCTCACAAAAACCCGTCCCAGTCTTGGCCGAAATTCTCGAAGCAGGTGCCTCAGGTGGAGTACACCGACCACCACATTGAAGTCCCCATTCACAAGCAGGCGCGTTGCCTCTGGTCTTCTTCGGGGTTTGCAGTCCCCTAAACCCTAAACCTAAACTTTAAAATTACCTTTGAAAGCTTATGTGTGGTGGTTGGGCATTGGGTTCAAGGTCTGGGGATACTCCCAGAGTTGCCGCACTCTACTCGATAGGATCAGTACTGTAGCTCAAACACTCAACCGCAGAACGTTTTCAGGGTCCTAGCTATGCATTGCCGCACGACAGCGGCGAGGACATGACACTTTTCTAGGCATCATTTCGTGTTTGTGTGTGTGTGTGTGCGTGTGAGGTGCACGTGCCCATGATCCAGACGATCCAGAAAGAGGTGGAGGTGCCGCAGGTGGTCTTTGAGGAGGAGGTCGTGCAGGTCCCTATCCAGAAGCAGGCGTGGTTGGCTCCCGTGATCGCCCAGCTGAAGTTGCTTTTTGGGGCAGTCACACGGTTCAGGTGCACGTCCCAGTGGTGCAGAAGGTCCAGAAGACTGTCGAGGTTCCTCAGGTCCAGTACGAGGACCAGGTGGTGCAGGTACCCATCCAGACGCAGGCCTGCCTTTCTTGCAGGGGCTTAGGACATCACACGGAGATATTTGGCCGCATCGCGGCATAA